CTTTCCCTCCCCACCTTTATCTGCTTTCCGGAGGGACAACTCTCTCCATGACTCCCTTGTCCGCTCCACACTCCCCTCCAGCTCCACCACACCCGGCACTTTTCCCTGCAACCGCAGGAAGTGCTACACCTGCCCCCATACCTCCTCCCTCACCCCCATCCCAGGCCCCAAGAAGACTTTCCACATCAAGCAGATGTTCACCTGCACATCTGCCAATGTGGTATACTGCATCCGCTGTACCCGGTGTGGCTTCCTCTACATCGGGGAAACCAAGCGGAGACTCGGGGACCGCTTTGCAGAACACTTACGCTCGGTTCGCAACAAACAACTGCACCTCCCAGTCGCGAACCATTTCAACTCCCCCTCCCATTCCTCAGACGACATGTCCATCCTGGGCCTCCTGCAGTGCCACAACGATGCCACCCGAAGGTTGCAGGAACAGCAACTCATATTCCGCTTGGGAACCCTGCAGCCCAATGGTATCAATGTGGATTTCACAAGTTTCAAAATCTCCCCTCCCCCCACCGCATCCCAAAACCAGTCCAACTCGTCCCTGCCTCCCTAACCTGTTCTTCCTCCCACCTATCCCCTCCTCCCACCTCAAGCCGCACCTCCATCTCCTACCGACCAACCTCATCCCGCCCCCTTGACCTGTCCGTCCTCCCTGGACTGACCTATCCCCTTCCTAACTCCCTACCTACACTCACCTTTCCTGGCCCCATCCCCGCCTCTTCGACCTGTTTGTTTCCTCTCCACCTATCCTCTCCTCTATCCACCTCCCACTCTCTCCCTATTTATTTCAAAAACCCCCTTCCCCTCCCCCTTTTCTGATGAAGGGTCTAGGCCCGAAACGTCAGCCTCTCTGCTCCTATGATGCTGCTTGGCCTGCTGTGTTCATCCAGCCCTGCACCTTGTTGTCTCGGATTCTCCAGCATCTGCAGTTCCTACTATCTCAGATGTAAGAAAGGTTGTTTCCCCCTTGTGGGAAACCAGAGGCCATAAATCTCAGAATAAGGGGTCACACATTTAAGAAATGAGGAACAATTTCTTCTGAGATCATAAATCTGTGGAATTTTTTTTTTAAACCAGAGTGCAATCTTCACCTGACTCAGGTACTTCCTTCCATTCCCACAGAAATCAACCTGACTGCAGAGAAGCCCAGCTAAATTCCTTTGTGAAGCAAGACTCCGTATGCCTGTTCCACGAGCAAAGAAAGTAACATTCCTTTCAAACATGCCACACATTACAAACTATTGTTAATACAAGTTTCAGGGCACTTAACAGGGTAGTTGTAGAGAGGTTGTTTCCCCTTGCAGTAAAGTGTAACACCAGAGGGCATAACCTCAGAGTGGGAGATTACCCAGTTGGACAGGTGAGGAGGAATTTCTTGAGGGTTTTGTGAATTTGTAGAGTTCTTTACTGCAGAGGGCTCTTAATGCTGGGTCATCAAGTGATTGATTGACATTTTTAATCAATAAGGGAATCGGGAATCAGAAATCATAAGCAAAAGGCTGGAAAGTGGTGTTGAGGATGAACAAATCAGCTATGATCACACTAAATGACAGAACAGACTCAATGGCTGACTGGCTTACTTCTGCTCCCATGTCTTACAGTCTTCTATGCCATACTCCCATCTCAGCCTCCTCCATTGTTCCAAAACACTATGTATGGCCATGACAGCACTTCCCCCCCCTATTTAAATATTTAACAGCCTTCTGGTGCTAATATTAAGCTCCATAATTTTCAGATCGCCCCCATATTTATTCCCCACTTCTTTCAGACAGCAGCTGTTAGCCATGAATCTGCTAATTCCTACTTAAATCTCGAAATGTCTTCTGGTTATTGACTTTTTAAGTTGCAGCAGCTCCGCAGGACGCCAGCACGGGTCTAATCGGTAGAAAGGCTTCTCTGTGCTAACAATAATCATTCATCTGTTACTTAATCTCTCTTGAATTCCACCCCATCGTAGGCCTCTTGGTTATTCCGAACTTTCACATCCTCCATACTCGTTGAAAACGTCTAAAGTGTCCCAACAATAATAAAAGGACATTAACCTGAAACTGTGTCTGTCTCTCTTCTCTCCCCTTACTGTCGGAGCAAATAATCGAGCGTTATTCGGGCCCTTTCTTATCAAGAATACCGGATTAGATACGACTGCGCTGTTTCTCAGAGCTAGCCATCCGAAGGTTGCAGGAACAACATCTCCTATATCGCCTGGGAACCCTGCAGCCCAATGGTATCAATGAGGACTTCACAAGCTTCGAAATCTCATCTCCTCTCCTTCTATCCCCCGCATCCCAAAACCAGCCCAGCTCGTCCCCGCTTCCCTAGCGTGTCCGTCCGTCCTTCCTTCCTTCCTCCCACCTACACTCACCTCTACTGGTTCCATCCCCGCCTCTTTGAGCTGTCTGTCTTCTCTCCACTTATCTGCTTCTTTATCCACCTCCCCCTCTCTCTATTTATTTCAGAATCCCCTTCCCCTCCCCCATTTCTGAAGAAGGGTCCAGACCCGAAACGTCAGCTTTCCGGCTTGGCCTGCTGTGTTCATCCAGCTTGTTATCTCATCATGTGCAGTAAGTTCCTTCATTGATCAAACCTTGCTTAAATCACGTGAAACGAGATCACGTGCTATCATGTTTACGTAATCGGAACCGTTTGACCAATAGCAGCAGCCCACAGCCGCTCGGTAAAATTGATTTTATAACATTGTTTTGTAACACTTGGTTTGTCCTGCCAGCTTGTGGAACCCAGCTGGATAAGGTAAGATTGCAAGGTACGGTCCGAACGGTAACTGTCAGGTTCTGTGACACTGTCAATTTAGGAAGTAAAATCGGTGCTGAATCAAACTTGCTACTTCGTGGTTCCAAGGTGAAATTGGTACTCTTTCTCAATGGTACTTTCTCGTTCTGTCTACAATCCACAAGCAAATCTTCACCCTTCCAGACCACATGAGGTTAAAGAATTGAAATTTGAACGGTGATATTATAAAGTGAGCAACCACAGAAGTATAAGGTGATCGCACCTAAAGTTTGTGTGGATCCCTGCCTGCAGAGAATAGCCTCTTTCAGGAATAGATATGGGTAGTCTTTGCTATTTAAGATATGTAGCTTGAGTTGTGGATGAGGTGTTGACCTGCTTGCCGAGCTGGCTGGTTATCGTACAGACGTTTTGTCACCACATTAGGTAACATCATCAATGTGGTCTCTGATGAAGCAATGTTGTTCTATACCGATTGGTATTTACATTGGTATTTGGGACTACCCAAAGTACACAAACCAGACACTCCTCTCAGATCCATAGTCTCTCTACCAGGCACACCTACACACAAACTAGCCAAGGACCTACAACAGAAACTGAAACGCCGGGTCGACAGATCACCCCACTCCATCGACTCATTCCACGAATTCCTTAAAAACCTCAAGAACATTAAAAACAATGACAATATTATGGTATCCTTTGACATCACAGCACTATTCACGTCCATTGACATACTACTAGCCAAAGAAACACTTGCCACATTACTGGATGCAGCAGAAACACCGACTCCAAACAGCTCCGTGAGCAAGGACGACATACTCAGACTGCTGGACTTATGCCTCACCACACACTTCATCTTTAATGGCCGAACATACAAACAAATCAATGGCACACCTATGGGGTCACTCATCTCAGGACTTATTGCAGAGGCAGTCATGCAAAGACTGGAACGCACTACCCTCCCCCTTCATACAGCCAAGACTGTGGATCTGATACGTGGATGACATGTTTGTCATCATTAAACAAGTCAAAAGAGACACACCATCTCATTGACAATGTTTTCACCGGGATCAAATTTACAAGAGAAGAGGAAGACAACAGTCAACTTCTGTTTCTAGAACGAATAACTAATGGGGAGTTCCAAACCACAGTATATAGGGAGGCAACTCACACAGATAAAATCCTCAATTTCCACAGTAATCACCCCAACGTCCACAAACAAAGCTCTGTTAGGACACTATTCAAATGGGTCACAACACACTCGAACTACGCAGGAAGGAGGAAGAGCACCTATACAAAGTCTTTGCTAACAAACAGTATCCTGACAGCTTCCTCCGCAGGTGCCTACTACGTAGACAATGCCAAGAGGACACAGTACACCCCAATGCACTGGCCACACTACCCTACGTCAAGAACATGTCAGAACTGACAACGAGGCTCCTATGACCATTAGGAATCACAGTAGCACACAAACCTGCAGCCACATTACGACAAACAATCACAAGAACCGAAGACCCCACACCCATGACATGCAGGACCAATGTAGTTTACAAAATACCTTGCACTGACTGCAACAAATATTACATTGGCCAGACTGCAAGGAAACTAGCCATCAGGATACACGAACACCAGCTAGCAGCAAAATGACACAACAAACTTTCCCTCATCTCAGTGCACTTGGACAATGAAGACCATCAACTTAACTGGGACAATGTGACCATCTTAGCTCAAGCCAACCACAGACACGCACGGGAATTTCTAGAGACCTGGTTTTCAACCAGCAATGCAATCAACAAACATGTGGAATTAGATCTCGTATACAAACCCATGCAGAGCAGAATCGGAAATGAGACAACCCAACTAAACAGACCAGATCATATAAATACCAAGCGGAGTAGAATAACATCGCTTCATCGGAGACTGCACTGATGATGTTACCTAGCATGGTGATGAAATGTCTGAACTGCAACCAGTCAGCTCGGCGAGCAAGCCAACAACCTCAGTATTTGCTATGTCTATTTTATTAGGATGTTTCTAAATTGCTTTCCTGAAGTATGGTTTATTATTATTATAGCTGATTATGTTTATTTCTAGATGCGGCTGATGTCTGTATTTGCAGTTGCTAAGAAATGCCTGTTTCTGAAATGGACCTGCAGGAACTACAGTTCAGTCACTGCTTCCAATTTAGCATTTGTTCCTTCAAGCGCGCCTTTGGACTCAATCGAGTTGAAGGAACTTCAGGATTTTGTACTTCAGTCCAAGAAACTGTTTGTGCTGACTGGAGCAGGGGTATCAACAGAGTCTGGTATTCCAGATTATCGTTCAGAAGGTGTGGGGCTCTATGCAAGGACAGAAAGGCGTCCCATTCAGCACTCCGAGTTCATCCGCAGTGTTAAGGGCAGGCAGAGGTACTGGGCACGGAATTATGTTGGTTGGCCACAGTTTTGTTCTCGTCAGCCAAATGTGGCGCACAATGTTTTGAGTAAATGGGAGAAACTTGGGAAGCTTCACTGGCTGGTGACTCAAAACGTGGATGCTTTACATGCAAAAGCAGGAAGCCAGCACATGACTGAGCTTCATGGCTGTTCTCACAGAGTGATCTGTCTTGGGTGCGGAGATGTAACACCTAGGAGTCATCTTCAAGAAAAATTTGCAGCTCTGAATCTTGGCTGGACTGAAGAAGCACACGGAATAGCTCCAGATGGAGATGTTTTCCTGACTGATGATCAAGTTAAAAATTTTATTGTTCCTTCTTGTGAGAGTTGTGGTGGTATTCTGAAACCTGATGTCACCTTTTTCGGAGACACAGTGAATAAGGAGAAAGTGAATTTTGTCTACGAGCGTGTGGCTGAATCTGATGCTGTTCTGGTGGCTGGTTCTTCTCTGCAGGTGAGTGAATAGATTATTGAAGACTTTCCGGTAGGGAAGCCCAAACTATGGCCACTTTGCTATGACAGTGTGGCCTGGAAACCAGGATAGCTCAGTCACACATGTCTTAAAGTTCTTTGGTTTGTCTTGTCTGAATTTCACAGGCTTAAAGAGCTACTTCTTTGTTAATTAAATAGAACATCTTAATATGTTAGTAAGTACAACTTCAGATAATGCAACTTAACGGAAGAATAATTTTAACATTTTTGGAGTTGGATTTGCAATTGTTATTATCAGGGTAATCTGGTAAAATGAAGTCACATTTCCCCTCAATATTTTGGGCTGGTTCAAGATTCACTTTGCCCACGTAAGTTAAAGAAAATATACATTCAGGCTTCCCCGGTTTCTATTGTCTAACTTCAGTCTTTCTGTAACTCACCAATTGATGTGAGATCATGACTGTCCTGTTTGTGATATAGACACAAGAATTAGAAAGAGTAGATGACCGTGCAGCCTATTGAGGCTGCTCCGACATTTAGTACAATCATGGCTGATCTCAGGCTTTAGCACTTGTCCATTCCCCATATCCCTTGATTCCTTGAGAGATGAAAAATTCATCTATCCAAACTTTAAATATATTGAATGCTACAGGAGTTACAATTCTCACATTGTGAGTGGAGTAACCTCACTCAGACTTAATTGATCAGCCCTTGGTTTGAAAGTACACTCTTTTATATTTGCATTCCCCAGCCACTGGAAACAATCTCTGGTATTTCAAAATCTTTCATTGAATTTCATTGGGTTTTTTCTTGCATGTTGTGCTTTACTTCCAAAATTTCAGATGTCCTATTGACTCCCATTACAAAATAAGTTTGCTGTTTTCCATGTTGCTATTTGTAATGGATTCTGGGCACAAATACACTGTGAATGTTGAGACTGCACTGTGTCTTTCAATGAGATTGCTGCTCCCCCAGGATTATCAAATCAGTCTCCATACTTGTATCCATTCCCATCCTTCTGAAATTGTTTTGCATAACATGAAACATTCGCCTGAATATTAATGGAAACCGAATAAAACAAAATTCTATTTTGGGGGATTAACTATCAATTAACCACTTTTTTTCTTAAACTGTGCATACTTCTCACCATCTAATTCTGTGGCAGATGATAAAAGCCAGTTATTTTCTTTAAAATTAACATAACCCCAGAAAATAGCAATAATCAATTGTAACATTCAGTTCATATACCATAGATCAACATAGAATGAATGATATATCATATAAATGTGGAATGTTTTAATGTACTATTTTATAAAATATTAACACTTCATGTTCTTATGTGGATTTCAACCAAGCTCTGTATATTCCCCAGTGACAGAAGACTATGAAGCCCCTACCCCACAACACACAGTAATAATTGCCTCTCATCTCTCTCCCAGTAATCAGCTACTCCACCATCCCCACTTCCTCTTTCAGTAATTAGTCTCATTCACTGACAAACACAGTAATCATCCCACCCACACATGCAGTTAACAGCTCTTCTGCCATCCTCTTCCCTGCACCCCAACAAATATAGTAATCAGACTCTCTCCCTCAAACAAAGTAATCATGTATTGTATCTTGTATTCTTGTATTCCCTCTCCATCATGCAGAATAATCAGCTGTTCCTCCCTAACACCCAATTATCCACCTCTGTCCTCTTTACACACTTATCAGCTCCTCTTTCACTACGGCTAAGTACTTTGAGATATTTATTCCATACACTTGAAAGACCTACCTCAGGTGAAATATGATAGTTAAAGCAAGTTAAAATGCAGCAGAATGAAATCACAGTACACATTGTATCCATTTGATGTTTTGGGCTCACTGTCTTGTGACACACAAACACCCACTACAAAATCCCACCAATTTAAGAACAATTGTATAAAATGGACACTGGCCTGGAAAACTGTACTCTGCTGGTAATGATGCTGTCTTACCTATAAGGAAGAAATGCAATTGTTATGCTAAACCGTTAACAATTGCTGCTTAAGTCTAGTTGAATTATTTTACCAATTCTGGACACCGTATTTCAGCAACAATGTCAAGGCCTTGGAGAAAGTGCTGAAGAGATTTACTAAAAGGTAAACTAGAATGAGGGGCTTACAGATTTAAGGCAATTTGCAGAAGATCCAAAGCAGAGATGAGCACTTTTAATTTTAAACATAGAGTTGTTATAATTATTCATCGTTGCCAAGAGTGGTGGAAGTCAAAACAGTAATAACTTCCAAAAGGGAACAGGTTCAATCTCTGCATTTTAGGTGGAACTTAGAATCACTTTTCACATTCATGGTCTGAATGATTTATAAACTAATATTGCTGATTCTTTTTGTTCTCCGTAAATAGGTGTATTCTGGATATAGGTTCGTTATTGCAGCATATGAGATGAAGATACCAATTGCACTGCTGAATATTGGAGTTACCAGAGCAGATGCACTGGCCAGTCTGAAAATCAGTGCTCGATGTGGAGAGGTGCTGTCCTGTATTCTTCACCTTTGAGACGGTATTGTTGCAAACTAGGAAATTCCAAATAATGATAATATTAAACAACATAGTTTTTCTACAAAGAACAGATCCATCATTTATCAATAGGAATATGCTCTGCAGCTTCTCCTTAAGGGACCATTACGGTTGATTCATAAAATAAAAGTTGGGACTGATGGAAATGGGTAGAGGATTCAATAATATAACGGTCATAAATAAGACTCTTATTAGAGTGATTTTAATGAGTCAAATAGTCTTTTGTTCTTCAACTATCTGCACTTACAAGAAGTTCATTTGTTTTAATATTCACATATTTCTAACTTGGCATGCAAATATTAAGACAGTAATCTGAGGTACTGGATTATACCATACACTTGGAAGACCTACCTCGGGTGAAATATGATAGTTATAGCATGTTAAAATGCAGCAGAATGAAATCACAGTACACATCGTATCCACTTGGTGGAATACATTTACTTATCTGCGCAAACTTTACAAGACTGGCCTCATTAAACATTCCATCTGAACTGAGAGTATTTGGCATGATGAACTGTTAGCAATGCCTGGGGAGTATTGAAAAAAACACGAGAGATTTGTAGGGCAAGGTGGTAAGGCGAAATTATACAGACAATGTGACATTTCTTGTATCAATAGGATCTATGGATTTTTATCTGTAACGTCTATATACTAGCATGTTTTCTTATTGAGAATGAGCATAATCACTATCAAGCTTTTGGAAATTTCTATTTCAATTTACAGGACGAAAATAGATGTAGCCCATAAACCACTTTTAAAACAAATCACGTGAGTCACATCATCATAAATGGCCTCCAAATACATAAATTTAATAATCCTAAGAACTTTCTTAAAGAAAAAACTCAAATCAGTTACTGGGATCTAAACACAATCCAGCATCAAAAACTATTTCAACCATCAGCAGCTATGTTTTGTACATAGTAATTCTACAGTTTTCTCACGTTCCAGACAGGAATACTTAGTGAAGAGTATTTGATCAACTGTGGTTATAATCTCTATACGTCCCAGGACAAGTGTAAATATTAAATGGGAGTTAACATGCATTTTATTCAGAAGTGAAATAAGCTGATTTTTAAAAAAATCAAGCTTACTGCTGTGGTTTTTATTTTGCACTTTAACATGTGGACTAGATGTGAATAAGCTACACAGTTTTCTGTATGTGCATGTACCAACATAACTTGAGATTCAGCAAAAGGAATAGGAATCTAAGATTAATTTTACAAGCATCATTGACTAAGCTGAAGTGTCAGATGAACATTCACTTTTACGGCGGGATCTCTCAATGGCAATCCTACCTAATTTCTTCTGCCTCATAAACAGACAAATTCTATTTCTCGAACTTTTATTAAGGTTGAGATCAGTTAAGGCCAGGAATGCTTCTCAATCTGAACAGCTCAGGTCTTTGCTACATTTTTGAGGAGTTATGCCGATCAATGGTTACAAAATATATACATTGTAACCTATCAATATTGGAATTTACTCTCAAATTTGTAAAACTTTACATGTTGATTACTTGAAGAACAAATAGGCCTTTGATGGCCAGAATGATATATAATCTTGAGATGGCAGATGGTATGCTGTGAATCATAGATATATCCTATATCCATGGACAAGATCTTATTACTGTGGTTGGTTCCCTCGCCAAGCTGGTTCGTTAGTTCACAGACGTGTCATTACTCTGCTGGGTAACATCGTCAGTGCAGCCTCCAATGAAGCGCTGTTGTGTTTTCCTGCCTGGTATTTAAACTCTGGGGTCCGTTGGATTTGATTACCTCATTTCCAATTTTCCTTCACAGTGGTGTACATATAGGGTCTAGTTCTATGTGATTGTTGATGGCCTTCTTGGTGGAGAACCAGGCCTCTAGGAATTCCTGTGCTTGTCTCTGTTTGGCCTGTCCTAGATTCCTGGTGTTGTCCCAATCGAACTGGTGGTTCTCCCTATCCGTGTGAAAGGAGATAAGTGAGTATTGGTTGTGTTTTTTTTTTGTTGCTAGTTGGTGTTCATGTACTCCTTGTGGCCAATTTTCTTCCTGGCTGTCTAATGTAATGTTTGTCGCAGTCCTTGCATGGAATTTTGTATATTACGTTGGTTCCGTCCATAGTGGGTAAGGGGTCTTTGGCGTGAGTTCGCAGTTGGCATAGGGTTGACGTGGGTTTGTGTGCTACTAAAATACCCAATGGTCGTAGGAGTCTTGCGGTCAGTTCAGATATGTTCTTGATTGTATGGTAGTGTGATGAGTGTGTTAGGGCATGCAGTATTTTCCCGTTGTTATTCGTGTGATAGGCATCATCGGATCCAGCTGTTCGGGTATCCGTTGTCCTTAAATACTTGGTGGAGGTACTCCTCTTCTTTTTGGTGTAGGTGTGGGTTGCTACAGTGTGTTGTCGTTTGTTTAAATAACGTTTTCACTTTGTTTGTGGGTGTTGGAGTGGTCACTGTTGAAATTCAGCACTTGGTCAGTGTGTGTGGCTTTTCTGTGTACCTTCATCCCCATTGGCCCTGCATTCTACCATGATGTCCAGGAATGGGAGCTGTTCGTTTTTTTTTCCTCTTCCCTGGTGAATTTGATGCCGGTGAGAGTGTTGTTCATTAGTTGGTGTGTCTCCTCTAGTTTGGCGTGTTTGATGATGATGAAAGTGTCATCCACATATCAGATCCATAGTTCGGGTTGGATTTGTAGGAGGGCAATGCTTTCGAGTCTCTGCATCACTGCTTCTGCTATTAATCTGGAGATCAGTGAGTATTGGGACAGCTATGGGGTCACCTATCTCCATTCACACAGATAAGGGGAACCACCAGTTCGATTGGGACAACACCAGGATCCTAGGACAGGCCAACTGGAAACAAGTACGGGAATTCCTAGAGGCCTGGTTCTCCACCAAGAAGGCCATCAACAAATACATAGAACAAGACCCTATGTATACACCACTGTGAAGGAAAACCAGAAATGAGGTAATCAAATCCAACGGACCCCAGAGTTTAAATACCAGGCAGGAAAACACAACGGTGCTTCATCAGAGGCTGCACTGATGATGTTACCCAGCAGGGTAATGAAATGTCTATGAAGTAATGAACCATCTTGGCGAGCAAACCAACCACAGCATCCACAACCCAAGCGACAGATCTACTCAAGAACCTTAAAGATCTTATTGGTCAAGGCCAATGCTTTACATTTAAATTGGTAATTGAATGAAAATGTGACTTAGTGTAACATGATATGCTTTGCAGACAACACAAGGTCTAATATGAATAAAAGGTATATAAAACACTTATCCCCTTTTGAGTCTGTCTCCCTCCTACTGCAATAAAGGCTGCTTGAAATATTCGCTAATATCTTGTATCGCGTGTTGATTTAAAATACTACACAACAAACACATGGAAATTTCAACCTGCAGGTGCACAGACTATTCTGTCAACTTTGCTGTTGTTTATTATGAAATGTACTCCATGTGAATTTTTTCCTGAAAATGCCTACTTTTGCTCCAAAATTAATGAGGTGCTATTATTTTTATTAGCTGCAAATTGTTGTCCAAGTCTCTTAGCACACCTTTTTGTTTCAAACATGTTACCAATTCTTCACTGCTGGTTCTGTTAAATGCCTAGGATTGCCTCCCTTACAGCACCATGGAACTACCCACACTGCAACTGTTGACCACCACCTTCTCAAACATAATTAAGAATGGCAATCAATTCTGACTTTGCCAGCAGCACTTGCACCCATAAAATAATAATTAAACCCCACAATTTGAAAAAAGAGAATTCCACAACAATGGTAATATTAAATAAATTAGTTTTACTATGAAGAACAGATCAATCATTTATCAATAGGAATATGCTCTGCAGCTTCTCCTGAAGGGAGCATGACGGTTGTTCCATAAATCCAGACAAATGGGGAGTATTCCATCACACTCCTGACTTGTGCCTTGTAGATGATGGACAGGCTTTGGGGAGGCAGGAGCTGGGTTATTTACTGCAGTATTCCTAGCCTCAGACTTGCATGTTTAACCACTGTATTTACATGGTGAGTTCGGTTGAGTTTCTGGTCAATGGTAACTTCCAGGATGTTGATTGTGGGGGATTCAGTGATGGTAACACCATTGAATGTCAAGGGGCAGTGGACCTGGGAATACTGCTCTAATCTAAATACAAAGCTGAGGAATCCTTTGCTCCTTTAACCCACAAAGTTGCTTTACCCAAAATACCTTCCCCCCCCCAACCCCATTCAACTGCTTTAGCTGCTGTCTCCCCACCGTTGACACCTGTTGCTGGAAGTCCTGGCACAATTGATACACAGGAAGGACTGGGTATCTTCCAAAGAAGAGATAGTGTAGAGAATTTTTATATTTCATGTTTGCTGTCTGAATGTTGGCATTGCTGGCATCTATTACCCATCCCTAAGTACACAGAAGGCAATTAAGAGTCAGCCACATTGCGAAGAGTCTGGCATTATATGTAGGTCAGACCAGGTAAGGATAGCAGATTTCCTTCCCTGAAGGACATTAGTCAATCAGATGGGTTTCCACAACAATCACCATTGTGCTAGCCTTCCCTTCCCCCACCCCCTTAGATTCTTTATTTTAATTTAATTTAAATTTCATCATCTACCATGGTGGGATTTGAACCCATGCCCCCAGAGCTTTAACCTGAGATTCTGGATTACAAGTTCAGTGATGCTACCACTTAGAACATAGAACATAGAACATGGAACATTACAGCGCAGTACAGGCCCTTTGGCCCTCGATGTTGCACCGACCTGTGAAACCAATCTGAAGCCCATCTAACCTAAACTATTCCATTATCATCCATATGTTTATCCAATGACCATTTAAATGCCCTTAAAGTGGGCGAGTCTACTATTTTTGCAGGCAGGGCATTCCACGCCCTTACTACTCTCGCATAGCTGAGTGTGGTATGCTATTGTAGGCATAATCTAGAAGATACTCAGGTCACTTTTGTTTACTGTCAAGAGGCAAGGTGTGCAGATGGTCTTGCAGCGTTTGGTTCAATTGTTCACACTGATTGTTACCAGCTTGGTGATTTCAGTGCTGAGGCTTTTGTCTGTGCATAGACTTTGCAAAGCTGCTATAAGATCTTGCTCTCAAGGTTGCACCCCTATGAAACCATAATGGACAATGACCGAAACAGACAAACCAATCACATATTAACACTGTGGCTATAGGCCTTTTGGACATTGGTCAGGATGTCCTGTGTGAACATGGTGAAGACATCCATAAGTATGAGAACATGCTTAGTCCTATTACTACTGGAGTCAAGCACCAAAAAATCCATTGCAAGAAACTCCAGAGTCTCTTAGTGACCAGGGATCCCAAGCTGGAGTGAAGTCACTTCCCTACTTTGGCTAAAGTAAACTTCTCACAATTTTAACAGTCGTCATTAATATCAGCATCTATTCAGTTCAGCTGTCTTTTCTGATGTCAATTGTTGTTGGAGCTGCTAGTACTATTGCTCAAGCTCCTCTGCTCAGCTGATACCAATGCTTAACACTTTAGGCTGTTGGGAAGGATAAGTTGTTTCATCCCTCTCTCCCCTTGTTCTAAACCAGCTAATAGAGGACTCCATCCTTCCCGACATTCTTCCAGAAGTGCAACAATTCTTCTGTCTCAAGCTGGGTTGGTCAATAATGGGTGTCCCAGTAATATGTAGTCTTCTGATCCCCAAATCAATCTGTTGAAGCTGTCTGAGGTCCTATTTTGTCCAGCTGACCAGAGATGCATTTCCTCCTCTGGTTAGCCTTCCATCGAAGGGCATCACTATTTGCATTACTTCTGCCTGGCCTGTACTGGATACAGAATCAAAACTGCATGAGTTCAGTGTCCCAGTTGGTCCCTGCTGTTCCTAGCTTGGCAGATAAATTAAAGTCACTGAGTGGGATATTGTCAGTAAACACTTCAAACTTAGCACCAACAAGAATGTCTCTGATTTTCTGGGAAATAGTTCACCTCAAAGCTAGCAGTTCGAGTTTCAAACTGGAGTAATTCTCCATATTCCTGTTATTTTTTCTACATTTGAACCTATGACAGCACTGCTCCCAGGCCAAGGAAACTGGAGGCGGCTTCTGGAATGAAAATGAGTTGAAAACCTGGGTAGCCAAGGACAGGTGATGAAACAAGCTTCTGCTTGAAGGTGCAAAGAGTCTTCACCTGCTGGGGTCTAATTCCCCGTACTGCTCTGTGAATGATCACACCTCATACATTCTTGTTCAACCACTCCTTCAGAATTCTGTGATTTCCTCAGGAAATTGCAGAGTGGTGCAGTTTATTGTGCATAGCTTTGCACAACGCTTCTATTGAAACCAGCTTGATCCCTTTCCAATTAGGGCAGGGCCACTCCTCTACCGCTTGGAAATTTCTGACAGTCAGGGGTGATGCCCTCCATGGTAACCAAATGTCCAAGGTACCCATACATTTGTCCTGAGAAGTTGACACTGCTCTGACTTTCAAATTTTAAAAACTGTGACAAGCAAGCTAAGGGTGTCTGGTCTTGCTAGGGTATCCTTAAATGTCAAGATGAACATGAGTATATTTTCTAGAAAAATGAAGGGGGACTGGAAATATAGGTCATCAAAAGCTTCATCCATCACACACATGTAAGTGGCAGAGGCTTTGCAGGGCTCAAAGGGCATTCTCATGTATTTGTAAAGTCCCCTGTTTGGAATGCCACATTTTCAATGTCTTATTCAACAATTTGTAGCTGGTTATAACTGAACCATTTTGAGATCTCAGGAAGACACCTTGCATCTTTGAGAATTTGCAAGCTTCCTCAATCCTAGGGAGATGATAAATATCCTTATGAGCATTTGCCTCAAGTGACAGGTAATTGACACAGATCCTCAACTTTTTCATTTTTCTCCTTCACAAGGACTATGGGGGAGGCATAGGCACTTGACTCTCAGATGACACCCCACTCCAAAGAATTCTGCAGGTAGTCCTGGTCTTCCTCAGTGATGGGGTGGGATCCTATGGAATAGAACTTTTACTAAATGGTCATCTCTAGTTACAACCCTGTGGGTTATTAGGTCACAACATTCAATGTTATCATATTTACTGAACATTGTCTTGTATTTTCTGAGAGTAGAAACAGAATGCCTCCTCTGGGTTTCCTACATCTCACCAAAGACCGTATTTGAAATGAGATTAGAGATGTCTTCTCCAGTCTCTCCATGGCAGTGGCATGTTTAAGGATACCTATGAATGTTCTAGGTTGGAGGTAAACATTTTGTTGTTTAACTTGGCAATCTGCATGGATACCCTACCACTTTCTTGTACAATTACATGGGTTTCCCCCCCCCTACCCCGAGTTACACCAATTGGGGCTCTGCTACATATGACACAAGATGGTCTAACAAGGTCTAATGTCAACCATTAGAGCCAGCCTTCAAGAAGTGATGGTGTGGGCAGGTTTAAAAAAAAAACAATCAGCCTGATTCCCCACGACTCGAGCAGTGCTCAGGTCCTGTACAGGCAGATTGATCCTGTGCACCACCTACTGATCTCAATGGAATGTTCACTATACATGCTTTCCAAGGAGGCCTAGATATCTCTCAACATATTTGACCCCAACACCATGAGTATAACTTCTTTACTTTCAGTAGTGCATTGATTAGGTCAGAGACTCCAAACTATGAGAAGCATGATGTGGGCCAGATAGGGAGCACTTGATGTAGCCACCATCTTCTCCACATCTTGACCTTTCAACCTTGTTTGCCTTGACTTGTTGCCTGTTCTGCAGAACCTTACTGACTAGCCCAGAAAAGAAACAAAATTTAAACGCATGAAAAGATCATGAAGTAGAGGTCCTTTATTCCACTGGCATCACAGCATTACAAACATGAAGGGAATTAAGGGACACACAAGTAAGTATTTACAGTATTTACTTGGAATGAAGCCTGCAGTTTACACTGGAGTGAGAAATCCTACGTCTGTCTGCTTCTTCTTCCCCCAAAGACACCCTTTCTGGAGAGGGTTCACTCGAGTGCTCCAGCTGCCTTCCAACACCGTCACTACGTGCTCCTGGAGATTCTATTATGGTAAAAGAAATACTGAGCAATCTTTGAAACATGATGAAGGTGGGGAAACAGTTCTTTAGTACAGAGGCCTGTGATCAGAACAAGTGAACTCTCAATACTGCGATAGTTGCACAGTGGGTATCATATGTATATTAAAAACTGTACAGTGCTGCATGGAGTTTAACTAATACAAATATATATATAATGTTAAAATAAAGGTTTTTGTTAGATGATTAAATGAGGCAGATATACCGAAATGCAAGACTGCAGAATATAAAGCAGGATTTTATCCATTCATTTAGAATAAACACTTTGGCATAAGTCCCCCAAATAAAAGAATCATTATGTTTACATATTAAAGCTTGCTTAGAAAGTCCACAACCCATTTGTAAATCTTTCTAAAAACATTTACATTTATCACTGATTTAATGGTATTGCTTAATACAACAGGCAACAACGCAAGATCTTTTATAGCACCTATCTCAAAGGCAGTAGTTTGAACTGAGATGTATAAATCCTTTAGAAATTTGTGCCTTATTCCAAAGAGCTTTTCAAGGCAAGCAGTGAAAGAAAATATCTGAGAAGCACCTTTGAGATTGTAACAAGAAGTGAATGGGTTCGTCTGTTGGCCAAGACATAGACTCTAAATGGGTTTCAACAAGTGCCTTGAACTATCGTGTACTATTCAGATAGCCTTGTTGTCCTTTAACAATTATTGGCAGCCCAGGTCCTGGGAGAATGCCTTTGATTTCACATAGTAGGTGCGTCCCAGCAACAAATTCATACCCTAATTTGTGTTGCACACATCAGACACAATCCAGTAATCGAACTTCAGATAAATATACAAATAGTTATGGATTAGCCCTCTTCAGTTTGAAAAGGTGTGAACAGAAAACTAGCACTTCTGGTATTATCATCATTGCTTCATAAAAATTCCATTTTTTTGTTTTCAAAAGCACAAACAATATTTGTAAAATTACAGTAAGTCAGAAACAAGAGACGTACCAACTGAATTTATACATGTTTAACAGCTTATGGCTACAATATGTTATAGAAATTTTATCACCTCTGTAGCTAAATAACAGAAGGAAAATATTAAATGACATTAATAAGGCATGGGCCACAATTTGCATCACATTCTTCTGGGTTCATACAAAAGGGTTGCAGAAGTGAAGGCTAATAGGAGTTCTTCACTTTGTAAAACCAATGCTTTTCAGATTTGTAGAGAGATTCCATGTTATTTAAAACACGGCACCTTTGTGGTGACTGACTTTGCAAAATATACTTGGAAGTACACATTCTGCTCAATTAAAAACAAAAACATTTTCTTGCACCTTGTACATTTCTTGGTAAAATAACCATAGGAAGCCACAGCTAAGAAGCACCCAATATTAAACCGATTTGCACCCAGCTGCCACGTTCTCAAAAAAGGTAGAGCTCACAATCATTTCAAGAATTGAATTATATAAAGTGCAATAAAGTAAAGAGATTGTCCCACAACCTTGTCAATTTTGAGATTTGCAAACATTAAAAAAAAAATGGAAGTATAGGTAGGAACAAGTGAATGAAATTATTTTTGCTGTCTGTTTAAAAGGTAAGGACTCTTTTTCTAAAAGAAAATTTTGGATCAGAAGCACTTATTACTCTGGTAATATTACATCAGATCACGTCTTCTTCATGTCAATATTTGATCAAGGCCAGACATTTAAGTTAAAACCCTTAAGAGGCAGACAGAGCTGGAGATTTCAGTCACTCTTGGGAGTTGAAGTTACAGGGTTTCTCACTCATGGGCTGCCTGGAGGTGTGGCGAATCCAGAGCTCTCACTGTCACTGCTGGATGGTGATCGTGGAGCACTCTCAATCGGGCTCTTTGTATTGCGAAATTTATTCAACAATGTTGTATTAAAGGCAGATGCAGGAGAACATACTTCCCCTTCCTGTGCTCGCTGACTTTTGGGGATTTTGGATGGAGTGCCACCTGGAGACCTACAAAAGGAGCAGGCAGGAGATTGTTCTTCAGTACAAACATATGTATTTTATGATTTAATTAGTAAACAAAGATATTAAAAGTGTTAACATCATGAGATCAACAGGCAAAGAAACCAATGGTGTCAAGGAGAGTTTAATTGGTTAATTTTACAATACATAAAATGAATTTACTACAAAGTTAAAAATAAAGTTTTACAGATGCTGGAAATCAAATGAAAACAAAGTGCTGGAGACACTCAGCAGGTTCCATAACATTGCTGGAGAGAGAAACAGAGTTAACATCTGATATCCAATATTATTCTTCTATAGAATTCAAGTCATATTCAATTTGCAATGTTAACTCTGTATATACCTCCACAGATGCAACCTGACCTGAGTTCCATCAGCACTTTTGTTGTTTTAATAAATGCTAGAGTTCTTCATTTTAGAAATTAAATGCAGAACCTTGATAGTGATATATTGTTGGTATAATGCAGTAGGAACTGAAGCAGTAAAGGTGATTAATTGACAGTGTCGCAGATGGCATATACCACATTAAAGCAGACTCTTTGAACTGTGTTTTATGACATTGACATCAATGTTAAGCAACTCTTACAACACTATTGAAAAATAAAACTAGTTGAATACTAATCACTGGTTTAAGATTATGTCACAAAGGTGCATACTCAAACAATCAACCTGCAACTATTCCTCATTTTCATCAAGAATAACCAATAAGCACAAAACTAGATGGAAGTATTAAGATCTAGTTTTATTAACAGAAAACAACTTCAAAATTACATAAAATTGTGCAGCATTTAAGAGAGTTGGGAATGATCCAGCAACTCATTGTGCACAATGCTGGCTTACTTAGGTGGAAGTGCTCTTTTAGACCATAAGATATAGAAGCAGAATTGGGCCATTCAGCCCATTGAGTCTACTCTGCCATTCAATCATGGCTGATATACTTCTCAACCCCATTCACCTGCCTTCTCCCCATAAGCCTTGATCTCCTTACAAAGTAAGAACCCATCTACCTTTGTCTTAAATAGTGATTTGGCCTCCACAATCCTCTGTGGCAATGAGTTCCACAGATTCAGCACCCTCAGGCTGAAGAAATTCCTATTCATCACAGTTCTAAAGGGAGATCCCTTCACTTTGAGGCTGTGCCCTCAGATCCTAGTCTCTCTTCACTTCCATGCATTCCAGGCCTCTCATTATTCTGTAAGTTTCAATCAGATTCCCCCTCATCATAAATTCCATCAACTACAGACCCAGAGTCCTCAACTGCTCCTCATATGACAAGCCCTTCATCCCAGGATCACTGTTGTAATTCACTTCTGGACGCCCTCCAACGCCAGCACATCCTTCCTTGGATATGGAGCCCAAAATGCTGCAATATTCCAAATGACGTCTGACCAGAGCTTTATACAGACTCAGTAGATCTCTGCTCTTGTATACTAGCACTCATGAAATGAATGCTAACATTTGCCTTCCTAACAGCCAACTGAACCTGCATGTTAACCTTAAGAGAATCCTAAACTAATCCCTCTGTGCTTCAGAAAACAGACTATGCCTCTCTCCTTCCTACCAAAGTACATAACTTTAGACTTTCCCAAATTGTATTCCATCTGCCACTTCTTTGCCCACTCTCCTAGTCTGTCCAAGACCTGATCATTAGCAACTCCTTTGTCTGTCCAACTGTCTTTCTCTCTCTTTGGGCTATATCCTATCATTTACTCCCTATTCCACCCACCTCCCTATTTTCTGCATATAAACTGATGTTTTCCATGCCATCATCAGTTCTGAAGAAGGGTCACCGGACCAGAAACGTTAACTCTGTCTACTCCTTCACAGATGCTGCCAGACCTGCTGACTCTGTCCTATTTTGTCATGCACTTCCAAGCACCCTGCAATCTCATCCTCAATGGATTCTAAAATCTTACCAATAACCAAGGTCAAGCTAACTGGCCTATAGTTTCCCTGTCTTCTGCCCCTCTCCCTTCTTAAACTGGGCATTACATTTTATTTTACCCAACTCCATTTTGGCTTAAATGAAGCACTTATGACTTTCTCAATCAACTTAGCTTTATTCATATCTTTCCTAATCTTTGTGATCTCCTATTTCAAAATGAACTCCGGTCCATATCAGAAAAAAAAACTAACAGCTATTTGCAATATGGCAACAAACAGCATAGAGATGTGCAAGGATTTAGTCTTTTCTACATAGCAGGTCAAATGGAGGTGTAAGTATAAAGCGTACTGCATTGGGAATGCCTTGAAAACCTCTGGGACTTTGTCCTGAGGAACTATTTCTGAAAATGGTTTCCCTATGTCACTAATTAGAAGAACAGTAGTAACTATCAGATCACATCTTCAGGTAGGCACCGTAACAAAGCTTTTGACATACCTATGGATGCCTGTTGATCGTAGTCTCTCGAAATGGTTTGCAGCCAGAAGTTCCGAGTGGATACTTTGGACGGGTTCAGTGCTATTGTCACCTTCAGGAACTCTCAGATCTGCAATACTAGATACACATCACTTATAAGGAAATCCATAAAGAGATTAAAAGCACAGAGTGCTCAATAACTGTGATTTATTTCATATGCAAAATCTAGATTTAGGTTTTCTGTTATGTACACGAGAGTAGCACCTTTCCTATTTAGGCTACCAAAGTCTTTTCCAGAAAAATTCCAAAGAATTTCCAGACTTGCCAGACACAGAATAAAGTTTCTTCAACAATGTGCGCTAGTCCAAATGAAAATGAATGAATATTTTGTGCTGCATTTCCTTAGCCTACTAATGAACTTCCACCCAGTACTCCCAAATAACTGCTCAGACAGGCTCCAAGTCATCTTTATCACGTGAACTTAGGCCTCTTTATGGTAGCGGGAATTTTAGTCTGTGTCACGTTGTGAAACTGCCTCTATTTATGATGAATAGAAAATTCAAAAGAAAATCGTTTTGTGATCTCACTAGAAAAACCAAACCAAGAAGCAGATTTATAAAACCTTTAAATGCAAAGAGTTCATATCTCATGGTGGTCTAAGTGACCATCTTTGAGCAGAAACTAATACATAGAATATACAGTGACTAGTGGTATACTCATTTAGGCAAACACATTGTTTATTTTTAATTCATTCATGGGATGATGGCATTGCTGTCTAGACCAGCATTTATTGCCCATTCCTAATTGGCCAGAAGGCAGTTAAGAGTCAAATACATCAGTGGCTGTCTAGAGTCATATGTAGTACAGACCTGGTAAGGATGGCAGTTTCCCTCCCTAAAGGACTTAAAAGGCAATGGATTCAGGGTCATTAGCCTCTTAATTCCAGATTTTTTTTTTTTATTGAATTCAAATTCCACCATCTGCCATGGCATAATTTGAACCCGGGTCCCCAGAACAGAGTAACAGTCCAGTGAAAGTACCACTAGGCCGTTGCCTCCCCATATAGTACATTCTAGAAATCTCATTCTTCCTTATTTCCTTTTTCATTACAAAACTGGAACACGTGATCTCAAATGGTTGACATGTAACTACACGGTCAATTTCTTTTCAAGGAATTTTATCCTTCTCTTTTAGTGCAATATTTATTTAGTGTGTTGAATACTTAATACAATGAAGCTATTTTAAAACCAGACAGCAAAGAAGAATCTGAATCTATTTTTCTTTCTGTAACGTTCCTTAAGTCCTTTCACTAATACAACCACATTATTGCCTCATTGTCAGATGAACCCAAAATAGAATACTAAGATGCCTTAGTGCTAGCAACTTGATATCTGGAAAATGTGGACACATTAAATGCTGCACATAATTCTGAATGTTGTGTGGAGCATAACTATGCAGTTCACAAACTATAAGGGTGTATAGCTTTCTGTTACCTCCCAACTACTTTCCCTCCTACTTTCTATTTGGTGATAATCTATTTCTCCACCCCAAAAGTCAGCAGCACCCACAATCTTATTGCCACCCCCAACTAGGATCAATAGGAAGGGGGATAAAGGGTGGAGCTCTCAGTCAAAAATGCTAGATGCCCCCATTTATCACTCAACAAACTAACATATCTAACCACTAGGCAGACTGAACAGGATTGAGAAATGCTATCAAAAGTCAAGACTAAATTCTAAATTTTAATCAGTACGCTTCAAATTAAATATACCATCTCCTCACCTTTTACAGCGTCGATTGAGTCTGGCCAGTCCATAGCTGTCCAACAGAGCTGGAGTTGCCAAAACCTTTGCTTCTCTCTGCAAGAGAGAAAACAAATCTTAAATTTCCATTGCTCAAATCAGCTGCACTATTTCCTACATTAAAACAGTGACTACACTTCAAAGATACATTGTGGTTGTAAAGTACATTGAGGTTTACTGAACTTGCGAAAGGGGTTATGTAGATGCAATTCTTTCTTTATTTTCCTTTATACATAAAAAACCCAGACCTTCCTTTCTCCATCTGATTTTGTATACTGTTCTCCCTAGCACTTTCCATTCAGTGATATTCTCTTTCTCCAGCCCACAAGCCTGTTGCACCTACCAACAATAAAGCAGGCATCAAGCTTATCACTCTAGCGATGCTTCCTTTGAAGCTGATTACTTACTGTGTGAAGATCTGATTTGTCTTTCAGAGGAGTTTTAAATGCTGGATTACTGGGAGCTGAAGCAGGTGGTGGTGGTGGAGGTGGTGGTGGTGGTGGAGGAATGGCAGTGACTGAAGGTAGTGTGGAATCTTCATTCGTAGAAACCTCACCCTGCTCCCTCCGTCTCTTTTCAGCCAGTCGCTTGGAGGTCCTTTGTGTACTTTCTTTAGCCTCTAGAAAACACAAATATCACAAAGAACACTAAATCTTAAATGCAACATGCATGTGGACAGCTTGACTTCTACAGTAAACTGAAATTGAAATCAGCGTAGCAATGGATTATTTTTTCCCCAGATTCTCACATCATCCAAGTTACAAAAGTCAGATTTAATTGTGGCACAATTCTTGCCAACTGCTGAGGGTCATTAGATATTTTTAAGACAGAGGTAGATAGATTCTCGACTAACAACGGAGTCAATAGTTATTCAGAGTAGGCAGGAAAGTGAAGTTGAGGCCTCAATCAAATCAATCATAATCTTATCAAATGGTGAAGTAGGCCAAAAGGGAGGAATGGCCTACTCCTGCTCCTAATTAACATGCTCATATGTAGTGGCTACCGTGTTTTTTTGTTTCAAAAGATATACCGAGGTGCTATAAAATGTTAAGAAAAAATGAAATTAAATCCACACTAGGACCATATCATACTGGGAAAATAGCCATTTTGTTGACTAATTATTTTAGTACTGCTCCAGATTCTATTGTTGTCCTTGTTAATGTCCCAGTGACAAAATGTGTTTCAAATTGGATCAACACTGAAGCCAAGTTAATTACAATGTATAGTATTGCAAACTACGAAACTCCACATTTTGGAAATGTGTCCAAGTAAGAACAAACCAGCTTGAAACAGTGTAGCATGTTACACTAGTGTACTAGTGAAGAAGGGTTTCAGCATTTGCTTTGTTTGCATTCCCAACAGTGCATAGCAAAATAATGTTCAAAACCAGGCAAATCCACTAATAAGAGCAAGTGACATGATATATCCAATCTTGCCTAGCTTCCTTATCACTGCAATCACCAATCCTGCAAGTAGCAAATGACACTTCCTCACCAAGAGGCAAGCAAGGAATCTCTTCCCAAAGCCAAATACAATCTCTCTCCACAATGCAATAATTTAATTGAGATTGAGGGAAGAGAACACAGTTACAATAGGTGTTATATAACATGTTACCAAGGGTGCTTAAAACAAATCATCACAAGGAATAGGATTTTCTACTTTACTGCATTGTCTCTCACAAACCTATCGCACCATCTTGAACTGGAGGTAAGATGACCAATAATGAGATTTGACGTGGTCACCCAAATTCCAGTTCAAATATAATATCCATCCAAAGGCAAAAGAAATTATTTTTCATCTTGTTGCAATTCTTCTGTCATTCATAACTCCTCTAGTCACATCTTTGGTTTCTTTTCATTTGTACTATTACCACATGGTTGACTTGTACCATTAGCCTTCTGTTATTTAACCTATTATCTTTTTTCCATCCAATCTGACCTTCCTTTACCTGTTCTGCTTCTACCCTCTTCCTAACTTTTCCCAGTTCTAATGAAGAACTCAAAACCTCAACGGTTTCCTTTTCCATTGATGCTTCCAGACCTGCTGTGTATCCCAGCAGTTTTGTTTTTACTGGTTCAGATTTGCACCACTTAGAGGAAAGCTGAGCCAAATCAGCACAAGGATATGGCCATAAAGAAACAACTTGCTCCCTATATGGATGTCCATCTACCATCAGCTATAGTCCAGATGGGACTACAGGTATGTTTCCCTGCTTCAGAGGGAGACAAGTGGTTATAATTTAAGAGGCAACACAGTGCATCAAGCCTGACTGACCAGAGTCTCTCCTGCTATCACGAGTTTATTGGAAGTTTTGGAATGGGGTTTGGGCAACATCAAGAATGCTCCTTCCACGGTCTACAAATCCTGCAATCTTGCTCAGAGAAAATGGCACTATTCACTGACCCAAAAGACCTGCTCAAACTGATATGCACTGTACAAATACTCATTTAAGACATGGCCATTTTATATCTGTCCAAAACATCATTCTAACTATTGCTGTACTCACTTCTAAATTGTAAACCACTCCAATGCTGTTGTCACAAATATCCCACAACTTTGCATTATGGACATCTGTGGGGACCAAACAGCTGTATGCCAGATCCACAGTAGAATAAATTCTGGGTCACATCGCAGTCCAACAAGATGCACTCCTGCAGCATGCTAACTCAGCTCTCATCCTACTCTCACAAATTCGTCATTACCATATAGTTGAAACTCACAGTCAGTTGTTGATTTGAAATGGGTAAGTAATAACCTTAAAAGTCAAATGTAAGAGAAACCACTCACACTGCCTCAATACACTCAGCGGTTGCCTCATAGGTGCCCACCCAACTCCTCATTCAACCAGCACTGGTTGCAGCTTTGGCCTTGTTTTAAAAATGGTGATCTTACCGCAAGCGTACATCTGAACTTTTCTCATCTCGTCCTTCAAGTGTCGGAGTCTTTCTTGTAATTCATCTATTCCAACAGCATTACAGCGGTTCAGCCGACCATCTACAGCTGTGAAAAATTTAGCCTGCAAAGACAATGCTCATATGTACCAAACATTGACTTGACCTGACCTGACCCAAAATTGGTGCTTTGAAGGTAATAGTTTGGCTTTTATTTTTAGGACACTGACACACAAAGAAAGCAGCTAAATTTTATGCAGTAGCCTCAAAACAAAACTACATTCATTAATATGTGGCTTTAATAAAATTCCCCCAGCAAACCCTTGTTCTTAAATTTTCTTTTGTACTTGTTAATGTAACCATGCTCTCATATCAGCTGCTTCCCTGGTCTAGAGCTCCACCTAACAGTGAATAGCATAAACTGCAAGAACAAGGAGGGAAGCTACAGACAGTACCTAGCCTTAAAAACGTCTTGCATTTTCTAGCAATTCATCACCACTTCTAAGTAATCTGAAATAGGTGACTTTGTTCTTGCAATTGGCTGCTATATATTGATTAGTATATGCAAAAACTAGGGTCATCAGGAAAACAGCACTGCCAGCAAAATCAAAATTGAAGCCAGGATAAAACACAAAATTGTGTTTTGGTTGATGATGAGAAAAAGGGTAAATTCTGAGGCCCAATTTCTCCTATCTTGTGGGGCTGACAGTACCTTAATAAAGGATTTCAACCCAGCCTTTTCAAGTTCAGCCTGTTTTCGTTTGCGCACTACTCTCTCACACAGTGATGGGTTCTGATCCATAGTGTGAAATAAGTCCTGCAGTGCCTTTTCCGTATACGTCAGGGCTTCAGACTCAAATTCCTCTTTGGTTAGGCGTTTACAGAACATCTTGCTTAGAGGATATTCTTGATCAAATTCCTCTAGCGTTTCCATCATAACTCTGGAACAGGAAAGCAAAGATGATTTACTGATCAATTTATTTTACACATGCACAGACACATATTTCTTGTTTATAGGATATCATTTGGCCATATGATAAAATTGAGAAGCAGTAAACACATTAGACTAGAATAGATTTGGGGCAGGGGATGGGGATAGAGACAGCAAACATTCACCATTCTGTAATGTCTTCTTTATAGATTGAGTGAAGTGACTCCCACAAATTGCAGAACTCTGACCTTTACGTGTGAAACCATCATTCAGATGAAACTGGCAAAATATGTTTCATTGTTTGCTGATACAAAGCAAGTCTCAGAGAGCATTTATAAAGGGAAATAGGGTCTTCTGTGCTGTCAGTAATGGAATAAAGGAGCTTTTGTACAGTAAATAAAGGAATTCAGAGGAGACCAAGGCTAACTCAAGGATAGACATCCGGGACGTTTCTGAAGGCAGAAAGCAAAAACTATTTTGGAAGAAAATTTGCAAGGGATCGTGATAGCTGAAAGATGAATCTCCAACTGTGGGGCAAAGAAGCAACCATCAAAAGAACTGAAAGTGTAGGTTTCAACGTGTGGCCAGCGGGAAAAAAAAAAGAAGTGCAATCAGACCTGAAGGGCAATAATGATGGAATTTTGATGGGTGACCACAAAAGTGACAATTAGCACTTCTTTTGTTTGGGCAAGTCCTTGGGTAACAGGTTCTTGATGAGTTGGAATTATGAACAATTTGATCCAAGGTGAAGACAATATAGAAGGTGGATGGAATGCAGACGTGGAGAGGGTGGAAAGTGTATATGATGTAATTTATTGAAGATATTCCAAGTTGTTAACAAAGTAATAAGCAAAATATTCATGCTGAACTGCACAATTTGATTTACCAATGCCAAAGGAAGGTGGAACAATAGACTTTATGTTGTAGACTGAATTCACTTGACTAGGAAAATAGGAATTGAGATTTCAAATTAAACTAAACATGTCTGAGCAATGAATACTTGGGAGCACACCAGATTCCCTGCAATAAACCATGACATTATTTGCAAGACAAAAAAAATTACAACATTTCAAAAGATGAGTGCATATGTTCATGAAGTTGCAAAGTTTAATTTTTAAAACGTAGAAGGAAGGATGGGATTTTAAATGGTCGCTTAAATGCTGTGTTTAAAACTTTAAGACTAAAAGTTTTTTAAAATGGTATTGTACATGGACAAATTGGGGTTCACAATGCAGGCTTTGCAAATGCTGGAGATACTTCAGAATCTCAATAGATCACAGAGTTAACAGTCAGAAAAACAAAAGCACCTGGGAGACAGTTCTGATGGCCCTGACTTCTGAACGCTGACTAGTGGCACATTAAAAAAGGCAATCAGAAATGGAAAGTTCAGCTAGCCAATAAGAGGGCCAGAGAAAACATAGATCAATGAATCCTGCATCTTCTTAACTCACTGTCTTCCTTTGCAGTACAGAGTGCCAACGAAGAGTGTACTCCTGGGTCACACATGGCAATGTTTAGCACAGAGGTGACTACCATAATTCAAAAGCATAGTCTTACAAAATGGAAGACTCCTGCAACTAACTTCCATATTGAGAGCGATATAAACAGACTAGTCTGATTAGATTAGTCAGATTAAATGCCTTCCTTTACTGCCAGCTAATGTCAAATAAAATTATGATTCGTTATCAACAGTGAATTATCAGATTCATCTTGCTGCTAACCCAGCACTCAGCCTGCAAGAGGACGAGAGGAAAAATAAGACTGCAAGATTAGATTGCAAACTTGCTCACCCAGTCGGTATGTTTGACTGTAGACGTTTCATCACCCTGCTAGGTAACATCGTCAGTGCGCCTCCAGTCAAGCGTTGGTATTCTGTCCCGCTTGTTGTTTATATGAGACAACAAGGTGCAGGGCTGGATGAACACAGCAGGCCAAGCAGCATCATAGGAGCAGATATATATATGCCTCAGTTTGCTGGGGTGGTTGGTATTACTTCCGGTTTTGCTCATCAGTGGTTTGTATATCGGGTCCACTTCAATGTGTTTGTTGGTGGAGTTTGAATTGGAGTCCCAGGTCTCCAGAAATTCCATGGCTTGTCTCTGTTTGGCTTGTGCTATTATGAATGTGTTGTCCCAGGCAAATTTGTGTCCTTCTTTGTCTGTGTATATTGAGACCAATTCTGGACCCGATATACAAACCACTGAAAAATAAAACCGGAAGTAATACCAAGAAAAGATATTGATAAGTTAAGTGAGTGGGCAAAGATGTGGGAAAATGTGAAATCATCTATTTTGGCAGGAAGAATAAATAAAACTGGCTAAACAGCAAGTGATCTGGGTGTCTTTATACATAGTGCCATACTCACAGCAGGTGGGACTGCAGCAGTCTGAGAAGGTGCAAAACAGAACTGAAACAAACTCTTCGGTCCAATTCGTCCGCGCCAACCAGACATCCCAATCAATCTAGTCCCATTTGCCAGCAATTGGCCCATATCCCTATAAACCCTTCCTATTCATGCACCTTAACCGTAACTGCTTCCTCTGGTAGCTTGTTCCATACACACGCAAAACTCTCTGCATGAAAAGGTTGCCCCTCAGATCCCTATAAATCTTTCTCCTCTCACCTTAAACCCAAGACCTTTAGTTTTGGACTCCCCTACCCTGGGTAAAAAACCTTGGTTATTTACCCTATCCTTGCCCCTCATGATTTATAAACCTTTATAAGGTCACTCCTCAGCCTCCAAAGCTACCGGGGGAAAAAAGCCCCAGCCTATTCAGCTTCTCCCTATAATACAGACCCTCTAATCCCAGTTACATCTTTGTAAATTTTTTTCTGAACCCTTTGAATTTAACGACATCTTTCCTATAGCAGGGAGACCAGAATTGAATATAGTATTCTAAAAGTGGCCTCACCAACGTCTTGTACAGTTGCAACATGCATGAATCGAAAAAAAAAACTAACATGCAGGTCCACCAAGCAATTAGGAAAGTTAATACAATATCATTATTTATCATGAGGGAACTGATTATATGCCTTTGTTAGACAGGGAACTGTAAAGACCACGTCTGAAGTACTTTGCACACTATTGCCTTGTTATTTAAGGAAGAATGTAAATGCATATCAGGCAATTTAGAGGTTTATGAGACTAATATCTGGCATGGGAGACAACAAGGTGCAGAGCTGGATGAACACAGCAGGCCAA